GGCTGTGCTGAGCCTTGAAAAATAAGCTCTGAGCAAGGGTTGATGTTTGAACCGCATCATGGACATCTGGCAGCAGAGCCACTTAAGACAGAAAACAACACAGCAAAATAATAAAGAACATGTTATACCTCTGTGCCATCAGTTTCCCAGCCCAGTCTCTCACGCAGCAATATGAACAGCTGTGCAGGCAGGGAGAAGGGAGCCAACTGGCAGGAGATCTCAACTGGGATCAGGTCTGCTTCCAGGGAATTCCTGTTCAGACTATGTTCCTGAGCTGCCGATAGGGTCCTGGCCCTCCACAATACTTCTCTGAAACACAGTTCCTCTAAAATATATCTTACATGCTGCAGATAATAATTTGCTGTCGGCTTCTGAGCAATGCAGCTTATGTGCCACTCTCTGTCAGAGGCAGTACTTACTGGCAGGCAAGAAATGCAGGCAGAGCTGCTGTAAGAAGATTTGGGAGTATCTCTCTTCCAGAGCATCTTACTGCGGTGCTTCTTTTTGCCTTTCAAGGACTCACAGGCCCTCTGTCTGGGCAGCACCAGCTATGAGCAATCTCTTGCACGTCACCCTGGATGTATGTTCCCCAAGTTATGATATCCTTCATGAGGACCCTGCACAGCTGATGCCCTCCAGCATGGCTCTGCATGTCACTATGCTTCTGTCTTTCTTTTCTCACCACAAGCCCCTGTCTTCAGTACGGATCAAATCCAAGAAGGCCTAAACACGTTCATGTTGGTACCAGGATGAGGCTCTCACTTCCCCATGTTAGACCCAGACACCAGGTAGGCCTGCAGAAAACTGGGGGTGATATTCATCTCACTAAAACTTCAGATGTCTTTAAGGTAAACAAACAAAACTGAGCTAGTTGTCTAGATAACATTTTTAGTGCAATGGAGAGGCACTTCTAAAGTACAACTCATCTGAATTAATCTGTATGTCCATCCTAGAATGGGGTGAGTCATGTATTACAGAGTATTTATTCCTCTTCTTTGAATCCATCAGTGTTCTAGATGTCAAATAAGTAAATCTGTATTGGCTTACGCCATTTCTTACAAATACCCACTTGGATACATAATATCTTGGACATGATTCATTCCAGTTGCCTTTGCATAGTTAGAGTTGCTTCTCACTTAAACCATTGTAAAAGTTTAGAACTAGACCTTCCACATACATTTTTGTCCATACTATTTATTTATTTATTTCTTTTAAAAGAGGAAATAGAGGTATATATTCAACAAAGCTATGCTATCCACTCTACCAGCATACAGGGGCCCTGAGAAAGTGATCCTGAGAAACAATGGCTTCCAGGGGTAGACCTGCACCACAAAGACACTGCCTGCTTTGCCACTCGCCATGCAGGAATAGGCTCAGAAGCACAGGTAGCAGAGTTTGACAATAGAACAGCCAGGAGGTTATCTACTGCTTCTGCCTAGACAACACTTTTCAGCTTTCTCATTGTTTACAATTAAGCTGTAACAAATCCAAACACAACAGTATTCACTCAGCACCACATTTGCAATTCTTATTTAAGATAAAGCAAATAAAAATAAAGTCACAATTATACTCCTCTTACTAAGGAAAACTGGGGTGCATGGGATGTGACTTTTACTATGTTCAGTAAACCAAATGGTCAAAGGGCCTCTGCCTCCACTGAATAGTATTGATCTTAGCTTTGTGTTTGTGCTCTTGAAGAACAGCATGATGGATGCATTTAAAGGATGAGAGTGCAAAATTTATAAAGCCAAAGGAGGTGTGAAACAGGATTTAAGTTTGAATCATAGAACCACAGAATAATACAGGTTGGAAGGGTTTCTCTGCAGGTCGCCGAGTCCAATTCCCTGCTCAAAGCAGGTCCATTGCCAACAATCTATCCAGGTCACTTGATCTCAACCTGATATCTCAATCTCACTCGCCCTCAGTCTGAGAGCACTTTGCTGGGACTGAGGTTTTGGCAGTCATGATATTTTTGTCAGCTGAAGCCATTCCTACTTCACATCCAATCCTGCTTCTTGCACTGCCTTCCCAGCACAAACATTTGTGCAGTCTCCTAAGGAAGTGATTCAGCTGAAATATAATCTGGACCTCCAATACAATAATCTTTTTTTTAGCTGGAACTGTTCCCCAGTCCAATTTATTCAGCATTTCTGTTCATAACTAGCATGGTGGGGGGAGAGCCAGACAAGGATGAGCAGCCAAGTAGAGGAAAGGAAAGGAGAAGGAAGGAGGAAGGAAAAATGCCTGTTGAAACCAGAGCATCAGATTAATGAATTCTGCGCCGAGCCCAACCCTCACAGAAGCAAGATTCAGCTCCCAGTCAAGCCTTTTCAAAACAACAGTTTCCTCTTCTCCACAAGGAGAAGGTGGCTGACTTAGCAGAGTCTGCAGATAAAGATGAAAGGCACAGTAAGTACTGCTTATTCTTTGTTTTCACAGCAACGGAACTCAAGGAGGAAAACTCTACCAAAGGTGCAGGAGCCAGGTGAATCTGCACATCTGTCTGAAAGGAGAAGCAGCATAAAGCTGGCCTGAACAGAAGCACAAAAGAAATAGAGTTTTCCAACTGAAATAGCCAGACTGGCTGAGCTACAGAACCTAGGGTGTCCCCACCCAGCATCTTGTGGAAAGACACTTGCTTCAGAACTAGATCAAGCCTGAACAAGGCTAGAATGAACTCACCTACTTTGGATCCAGCTTTCTTACTTTTACAGTATTTCCATATTTGCCAAAAAGACTCAAAATTTCATTCAGAATAACTGAGAAGGACAGCAACCTCAGATCAAGATATTCTGAGAGAAATCCAGCGCAGTACTAGATTGCAACTGATGTGCTGAACATTTATGCAGCTGATCTTCATAAGCACTACTGCCAACGTGCAAAAACAGACCTGATTCATCTCACCCAGCAGTAGGCATTTGGTGCAGCCATCTGAGCTGGGAGCCCAGTCAGACTACTTTTCTGAGTAGTCCGTGAAGAGTGATAGGCACCCTCTGAAGATAACTCATCCTGACATGAAATGTAGCATTTCTGTATGAACCCAACAGAGGTCAAGACTGCTCTAAAAGCACTGCTCAAACCCTCGTGCTCATCACAGACCAGTGAGAGGCCAGATGTACTTCTCTGTCACTTTTGAGCCTAATCTCGGTCTCTCCGTTTTGCTGGCTGAAGTTCAAACCATAAATTGAAAGCCAAATACAGACTGAACTAAAACTTGAGGTACCAGAGACTGCTTATTAAAATCAGCCCAATACTGAGTCTTGAGCTTATACTTAGAACTGCGAGACCGACACTGAAGAACATACTTAAGGATAACACTCCTTAGGCAGGTGTAATATTCCCATACAGACTCAGCTGAAGATGAGGTCCCCAATTAGACCCTACTCTTATAGTTAACTTATACATTAAATACATCCCTAGAAAAACTTCCAGTCCTACTAAACATGGAAGAAGGAATAAGCTGGCTCCTAACTGTCAAAATTCCTAACATGTTTCAGCAGTTCTACAAAGATTGCACCGAAAAGATGCCATAACAGCAAGGGAGAGTTTTAACTCAAAACCTGTAGTAGCAAACTGTTAGCCTCAACCTACAGCTACATCACTGATTTAAGGCTCAAATTAAGGGTGGTGAGGAGAGCCATAGCCCATAGATCAAAGATATCTAAGTACATCAAAGACACATCTCAGGTGTGTACAGACTCACATAAACCAAACCATACTTACAGACCTACATAAACCAAACTCTACAATATTGCTCACAATTAGTATTAACAACACAGCTGCACCTCCTTTTTCAATAGAATACAGTATTAAAAATTAATATGTTCCCTTTCCTAAAGTCTTAAGAGTAACTTAATTTTCAGGGATCAATTCTGTGAACAAGATCTATGTAATTAAGAAAAGGAAAAATGTCTGTCCTAATTCTACTTCACTGCTGAATCTCATCCCACAAATTACTGCCTTATTCAGCAATCCAAGCTCACCAGGCTAATTATAAATTCCTTTCCTCCAGTTAGGTAATGGAAATAATAACAAATGACTTAAGTAACTAATCACAGCTAAATAGCACAGCTTGTATTGTGGATACCAAGTATTCCATACTGCAAACACACTTACAGAATACACACAAGGAAGGCACAGTCTGTTTGCATGCACTCTGCAAGTGGAAGAGACTACATTCATTGAGCAAAGCACAGCCAACCAAAAATTATGTAGAATTTGAGGCTAATATTAAATGCAATAAATATGCCGTAATTCAGAAGCTGTCAGCTCTACTGTGACACTTTATTTTCAGAGTGTTATATGAGCTGTTTTCTGCCTTTGTACCATGCTAATAGAAGATTTTACAAGTAGATTATTAGAGAGCTCTCAGTAAATTCTGCAAGCAGGACACTCCTACCCAGCTTACTCCTTCTATTTTTGTGAACAGCAGACTGAAAGTTAATAATCTCTCTCTTATCAAAGAAGTTGTGAAGTCTGGGTTTTCATTGACTAACCCATCAGATTTGACATTGTTATTCAGTTTGCTTGCAAGCAGTGCCCTTTTCCTAATCCATTTTGCTCTTATAACAAGTTTCACGGACAGTCTGCCTTTTTGAATAAGGAAGTACCAGGCAGCAATCTGCAGCAAGACAAAGACTTGAGTCTGTGCAGCAGAACACAGCAAATAGATTACTTGGTTACTGACGCCATCAATAATCTTAACGCTGTCAAAGGCTGCCACTACTTGAGCCACAGAGGCTTTCTAGGCGTGAAGCACACCACCTTGTACCTTGCTGCAGGGGACTGGTTATAGATTCCTGATCACTGTTGGCTCTGTCCATAAGAGGGCAGCAATAGGCGTCTGCCAAACACATCCACCATCTGCCTGCGTCTCGGGTGGAGACCTGGGTAAGTGTGCTTCAGTCAGCATGCTGACTTCTGCAGAAAACAGTAGGGAAGGGCTGTTGGCATCACCCCTGCCCACTGTCCACCTGTCAGTCGGAATGACTAAGGCTTCACTTACAGCAGGATCCCTTGGGAACCTCTGTCAGCACATATATGAAGCAGAACTAGTGCTCACTGTTCTCTGAGGCTAGGCATCCTAATTGCTCTGCAACCAGACCCTTTTGGGCTGACAAATTATGCTATTCGTGGCTGGCTATAGTTCTTTAAAACCATGAACCAGGTTTATTAAACAGATAAATGCGACACGTCGAAGAATACTGTATATTTTACCTTTCATAGCTGTTTTCCAGCAGCATTTATCCCCATCTGTGGCGGTGAAATACATTATTATATTATATATGAAGAAGGCAATTAGATCATAAAATCTGTAAGTATGCCTATCCAGTGTGTTTAAAAGAGGATGAAAATTGCAACTGTTCACATCTGCTATATACATTTTTCCAAATGCTCAGAAAGAATGGTGATTGCATTTTGTTTCCTCATTCTAAAAAGATAAATAAGAATATCACTTGTCAAGCTTCAAGAGTAGATCAATCCACCTTTCATTCTCAGGAGAATTCCAAAACATCAATATTCAAAGGGCAGAGAGTATACCTAGCAATATGTGCTGCACAGCTCCCGGTACACTAGACGAGCAATGAATAAATGATCATAAAAATAAAGCTGTCTTGCATGTAGATAACAATTTGCCTTGATGTTTAAATTTAGTAAGCGCTATTTCTCACTGTATATCATCTCTGATTCTCCTGTGATAAGGCCGAACCTTGAAGTAATGCTTTGGTGATTATAAGGTAGCTGTGCAAGGAATGAGATTTGGAAACGAGGTAAGCCTGTTTTACGAGAGTGAAAGAAATAAAAATATTCTTGGGAAATGAAACCAACAGAAATCAAGTGTCTCCGTGATATTTCATACAAGACTTGAGGTAATTTATTAGTTTAAAAATTTGCACATGAAGGATAATTAGCATCACCCAAATTTAGCCACTTCCCATTAAAGCAAGCCTCCTATCCAGAAATATCCAGATATCCAGAAGATCCAGAGAAGGAAGAGGCCCCTTTGCCAGCTGATAAGGATTCTCTTACCTCAGGTGTTCTCAGTTGCCTGGTGTAGGGCATTTTGGATGTCACCTTTTGCTAGAAGTCACCTAAGCCAGACACTACCATCCTTTTAACTCTTCTTGTTCATTTCTTTCCAGTTCGTACTGTTTTCCCCAATTGTCCATAGAAATGTGTACTAAAAGAACATTTATTTTGACTTTTTAAAATCAATTCTGTGCTATATTTATTCTGCTAATAATTTCTCAAAGAAGCAATATTTAGCAGAACAGATTTCATACAGTATGTAGCCAGTAGAAACTGCTGTGTAATGTCATTAAAAAGACTCTGCAGATAAGACTGTTATGCCTAAAACAAGGGTTTTCACCACCAGTTTTCCATTTAGCTACTACTGTACTACTACTGTAAGGAAAATGAATTTCTTTTTTAGGTTTTCAATCACTTCCGAAAGGATTATACATTATTCATTATTGCATATAAATGTGATTGACTTGGTTCTCCAATTTAGATTCCCTCTTTTTAAAAAATAAAAATAATTCTTTTTTAAAGCTCTTTTCTAGGTCCTTCTTCCTGCTCTCTCTTGAAGAGCAACCTATTTTTCAACTAAAGTAGATAACAAAAGTGGTCCAGTATTAGGACAGCTTCTTCCTAATTCTGTATTTTCCATAATGTGCTCAGATAAGTACTTAAGCCTGAAAACTTACACTGGCACTCAACTGAAACTGAAGTAAAAAGCTTTCCAGTATGCTTCTCAGATGTTGTTTTAAGCTGGAAGCACGACTACAATGTTTTTCTTGGCATAGCTCGTTGCCTTTGAAATAGACTGACCACTATTCTCGATATGTTCGTGTTTTCCTTGCATTTTATTTTAATGAGATGTGTCTCTTGGGAACACGTGGTGAGTCTCTTTTCAAAGAGTGGCTCTGTCACCGAACTGCAGCATCTCTTCACTGCCAAATATGCAACATATATTTTTGTGAGGTGTTTATTTATATCAGATCTAAAGATTTCCAAAGACAGAGCGAGTACCATAGACTTCGACATTGACTTTGATATAACAATCCTTGACAGTCCCAGAAAATACTGAAATTTCTTTTGTTCCAGGGGAGCCGAGTAAGCAGGCTTTGGTTCTACTCAAATAATGTAAAAACCTGCTTGGAATTGCCTCACTGAATTCAATATTTAATCTCTTCACTATGAGCTGTATCAGTAATACTCCAAGAGCCAACATTCTGTTCCAACAAAATTCTGCAAAAAGCAATTTTACCATTATAGTCAAAGTTGGTCGACAACAGATACAAGGAAATGGGAGGGGAAGGAGAGAAGAACAAAAGAGGAAAATACCAGTTGATAACGATAAGCATAGCAGATCAGAAAACACCTTATGAAATTCAACTTTAAAATGCTGTCCTCTAACTTATCAATCTCATGGTTTTTAAGGCAGCATCAGACTGTTGACCTTCCAGTGCTTGGGCTGCCTGCACAGAAAAGCTCTCAACTTACAAATGGAGAGCAGTCCATACAATGCATTGGTCAAATACTGCAGCAAGAACTGCTCCAGGGCTCTCTGTAACTTGAATGTGTTCATGGATACTTGCCAAAAGGAGTGAAAAGAGCTACGTAGGTTTTTTGGAGCAAATAGTTACATTCAAATCCTTTCAGTTGCTGATACACAGTAGTGGCTAAAGATCTTCTAATGTCTCAAAAAATTTAAAAACAAAATCAGTGGCAGGAAATTAAAACCTTCATAGGAAAGCTCCAGCACATTCAGTGGATGTGATGGTAGCACCATGCATGCAGCCTTCTGGCAGCAAAGGTCCAAATCTTATGTTGACCCTTGTCCATTAATCCATGATATTTAAGGTTCTCCTGAATAAAAAAAGAAATTGAAAGAAAATAATAATCAGGAACTATTATTATGTTATGATCCACATATACTCTCAAATAGTTCAGTTTCTCTTTCCTTCCTTCTTTTCATGATCCAAACACACAGTGCAGACCACTATCATGAAAACTACTCTCAGATTCACTTTGAATCAGACTTCTTGGGCATCCACTCCATATACAAATCTGGTGTCCATGAGTCTTATTCCCATGTTCCAGACTCTCTTGGAATTCTGAAATATTTACTAGAGAACTGCACTTCTGTATTGTTATACCTCCAAGGTTTATACCTCCCATTTTTTCCCCTCTTCTCCAAGTGAACTGAAATAAGTAGTTGATGTTATTAGTCATGAAGAAAACAGACACCAGAGTTATATGATATGGCAGAAAACCAGAAAAACTGTCCTGCTTCTTGCATATATTATGTTAAATTTGGTACAGAGAAAGCAAACCTTCCAGGTTCTTAGCAACCTAATTCCATCATTGCTTTCACAGATGAAAAGAGATGACTGCTGGTGGTAGGAGGGCAGGGAAGAAGAATCAATTTTAAATAAAATACACTTGCTAATTCATTGCAGAAATTAAACCTAACAGGTATGGCTGCTTCATGGACACAAAGACATTTCAAATTGCCAGAACTGCCCTTGACAGCAGGTGGTGTTTTGGATAAACAGCATCAGGGATAAGCTAGCAAGAGGCAAAAGAAACACATTAAGAAAAACTGTACTGGAATTTGATGAAAGTGTTTTCCAGACAGCTTAGCTCTTAAGAGACATGCAGATCATTTCAGTTCGAAAACAGTATCCTGTTTGGGAGAAACCCCAAGGACAAAAAGACACAGAAGTAATAGTCAGTCAAAAGGACTTGTGCCACTCAAGTAATCACTTGTATAATGCATAGAGGGTGATTCTGCTTTAAAACCTGGATCTGAAGAACCAGTGCTAGACTCCGAACTCGAAAAGCTGAAAACGATGAAGGATAGCAGGAACACGTCCCACAGCAGCACTCCTACCCTCCTGGGAGCACTGTAACCTGGGTCTTCTATTCTCCTCAGTGACCCTGTAGAACAGAGAAGGAGCACTATAGATGTGCACTACACATCTTCACCTGCCTAGGTGCAGGTCTAAGACCTGTGCTTAATCTTCAGTTTTAATTTCAGTGTTGCGTCCTTATTCCCAAGGCACTCAGAAGTTTGGGACCCCAGACACCTATATGAACGGTCACCTACAGAGAGAGGCAGAGCAAGGAAGAATAGACAGCAGTTTCATTGCTCAGGCACAATGGATTATCCATATCCCAAGAAAAGCTGTGCAGAAAAAAGAGCTTTCTCGGTAGGCCAGCTTAAAGACTTGGATGAGATCCCAGTGGAATTGTCCCAAGCACAAAGCTCAGCATCTTCTACTCTGACTATGAGTCACATAGATATAGACAGAACACTGTACAGAAAATGTAATAATTATTTTAAAGGACACTGAAAACAAAAAGAGCACAAAATTCACCTTTGGAAAGAAGGGGAGAGAGAAAATCACATGCAGCAGATAACAATCCCATCACTTCACTCCTGGAAGTCTTCCAGGCCGTGTAACACATTGCATATGAGGACCTAAACAAAACTTACATAACCATGCATTACATTGACATAATTCTCTAGGTAGAAGCAGTGGCTGCAATTCATATAAACATACCCATGGAAAAATAATACCTCATCCACATATACAAGATTTACCTAATAAGAAGAAGTATCATAGCACCTGACAATTATCATAATGTGCTTTACAAAGAGTAGTTATGAATAACAATATCCAGTATTTCCAATCAGGAACTAGATAATGCGGATTGCTGTGGGTTTTAGTCAGTTGTTGCCTGCCTTGCCAGGAAGAGTAAGATTCTTACTCCATGGACACTACACAACAGGCTTCTCTGGTGCCCTCCACCAGTCCATGTCGATAGCACTTCACAATTTAATTCTGAAACAACACCAGGACATGCTTCACAATGTCCCAATTTTTACTTTGCTTCATGTAAAGTCTTTTGTCCTTTAAGTCTTTCTATTCCTGAAAAGTAAAAATTAAACATTTGTTTAAAATCTTGCCCACACGGTACCTGTCAGTAAACTTGTACACTTACTCAACACATTGGAAAAAGAATAAATATGCCTAGCCTTTTACTGGGAATGTAGAAGCGTTGCTTCCACATTTTAGAGTCTATATACACTAAAAAAAGAGTTCTGCATCAAATCACAGTCAGCTCAACAAAAATTCAGCGAGCAAGAGCTGAGCGTTTATCTTCTTTATCTTTTCTCCTCATGTGATTCAACAGAAGACATGAAACACTTTCAGATAGCTTGATCCAAGTGGATAAAAGAAAGGAACCGAAGCAGTTTCTGCTAATACAACACACTCACTGCAAAATTATTTTTATTTCCCCAGCCCTTGATTACTTGTATGCAGTCCAGATACATATGCTGCTCTTGGCCCTGATGCCACTTCAGCAGTCTGCTCAGAGCGTTCTTTCAAGCTGTGTCTGTGCCATGGGAACCAGTAGCATTTTGCAGACATATACATACCTGGCATGTCTTGTCTTGATCTGTGGCATATCAAGGCACAGAGGATGTTTTTGCCACTTTCTGGCTTTCAGTTTGCAAAGAAAATTAATGTACAAGATTTTTTTAATCTCTTTTCCCCATAAACCCTATTTTCTATAGGAAGGCAATGTATGTAGGCATCATTGGCAGGTTAACACAATGTGGTCTAGCAGTTGTTCCCATTTAAGTCTCTCAGCAAACCTGAAAATAAATGGAAAAACAAGATTCGGCCTGTCAGATTAACACATCAGCTGTCCATGGGCATGCTTTCACACCATCCCTAATATAGGGTAACAAGAACTACTTAAACATCTAAGAAGCTTAAGCAATGTCACATCATCTCACCACTGTGGGGGGCTAACTGTGTGTACCTGGGCAATTACCAGCAGTTAGTAAAGATGGATGGCATCTTCTCAAGCCACAGTAACCCAGCCATATAGGACAGGCACAAATAATGTTCATCCTGAGTCATGCAAGCAACCATTGATAAGCTAGGTTAAGAGTCAGAGAATGTAAAGGATATGCACAAGTATGTAAATATTGCTAATTTAGGGATAATGTCATTCACTTTGGGGTTAAAATGGCACTCCAGCTTTCATCAACAAAGTTGTAGATCTCATTTTAAAATTTTAGACTGCTGATAAGGCAGAAATTCTGAGGATGTCTTTAAGATATGTATCTTAAATGGCATTTGTGATCATTAGTATCAAAGGTGAAGGGCTCACTCACTTAAGCCCCATCTTACGCAGCACAGGCACTCAGAAGCCTGGCTGAGAACCACACAGTGCATTCTCCACACAGTGTGCAGGACTGTCCCCCTCAGCCAGCACGTCTGCCTCAACACATAGCTCTTGTGCTGCCTGCACCATGGGCAAAATCCATTAGTTCCAAGCTGCTCCTTTTCCATCAAGTGAGGCTGCAAATCCCAAGAGCACTACAAAGATCTTACTATAAGGTCCTCCCACAAGCAGGGAACGAACATACTTCCCCAATGCCAAGCCTAGGCTTTTCTGAAAGCCAGCTAATTTGCGATGAATATTGTTGTAAACCATCTCTTTGTTATTTAAGGAGGGAACATGGTAAAAGGTTTCTTTAGAAAGTCCATGCTTTTTTTTTTTTTCTAAATTCTGTGTTCTGTAAAAAAAGAAATATTTTCATTCAAGTCAGTAATGAAAAGTACTTAGACTGGAAAGAAACACATTTCTGGTTTTATAAAGGAACATGTTTGGCAAGCTTAATTATTAGCGGCATTATCTCAGCAGCTTCTAATTCTATACCACTAGTTCAAAACATGTCATCAGATGTTGTATTTTGGATGTGCGCTAAAAAGCAACCAGGTACTTATCACAGTAATATGTCTGCCACACAGTTAGTAAGCCCACCTACATAAGTATTCTGCCTGCTGTTCCTGCAGCATAGCAAAGTCCCTACCCACAGTGCATGAAAGCTCTGTCTTGGGCCTTAGGTGAGGCTTTTGTTCATGTTAGGGGCAAAAGAATATACCCCACGCAACTCCATTGAAAGATTTCATGATTTTCCACCAGTGTGGCTGCAGTGATTCAAATTCCATTGTGGATACATATGTTTGGATTTAATGCATTCAGTTTTTATCTTTTGAAAGCTATACATCTAAATGTGACTTGTGTTAAGAAAGCCAATGGAGAGAGAGTCTCTAGGGTGCTTTCTCTGATTTGTCTCAGATATTTTATGTGTGTACTGAAGGTGCTATTTCTTCCATGGACTAAAATGAGGCCCAGGATACTTGACTTTTTGGGAAGATGGACCCCATATACAGCATCAAAGAGCTTTACACAGGGAGAGTTTATTTTAATTCTCAGACCAGAATAAGGTATGCCAGTATAAGCATTCCCATTTAAGTATAACTGTATCCCACTGGGATTTGGGCTGCTTAGAAGTACACTGCTCTGAAAAAAAAAGTCCAAAAAATCCCACTGGTATTTCAAAGTGCTTGTAGCCAGCCTCTGCCACTGGAGAAGGAAGCAAATACCATACCCAGGACTTTCTAAATCCCAATCGTGAATAATTTATCATCTGAAAGAAAGAATTTACATGGCCTCAATCCACCATAACTTAGCCAGCAGATGTAGCTTGCACGTAACAGAAATTAAAGAAAAGACAAAGTCCTCCTCTGTGTCAGTTCGCTAGATCCAGCTTCTTTTCTTCTCTTTCTCTAAATTATCACATTTTTTCATTGGTGTCCTTCAGTGTTTTCTACAAGGACTGTACCTTACCACAGCGTCTTTTAGCGTTTTACCAAAGTACTGCAAAGACGTGGGGTGTAGACAGCTTTCTTTATTAGCAGAGAGGAAAGGGTGATGTAGCTAAAAAAATAGTAAGCTTATAGTCAGAGTCCTGTGCCTACCTACTGGGCTGCTCCTCTAAAAGTTTACTTAGAGTGCAGTGATTAATAGGATGCGATCAGGGCCACCCCTCCTGCTATGGGGAGAGTCTCTCTAAGGCCCAGCACGTATTCACACAGCAGGCTGGTTCTCCCAACCTGAAGTGAAACCCCTACCATAACTGCATTGGTGCTGTTGCACACAAGTTAGCAGGAACGCAGCTTCCTCAGGTTTGGCTACCTGGCTCATTGTCACTTCTCTGGCCACGGTCTGTACATATCAACTTTTTCAGCCTACAAGGCATACATTTCTGTAGTATTCTCAACACTTTCAAGTCCTTTTTCCCCATTAAGAACCAGAAAGCAAAGTTACCTATTCCTGAGCTAAGGAATACCACTGCAGGAAGGTCTAGGTTCTTCTTAGGCTGAGAAGGGGCTACTTTGTGAAAAGTAGCTCCTGCATCTAGTCTCTTGTTGTGTTCTTATTGTTTTTCTACCAGTAGACCTTTATCCCACGTCTCTCACAAAGCCTTTTCATTTCCACTTCTGCCATGGGATGACCATCTCCAAACTCTCCCATCTAGGTCCAGCTCCCAGCTCCTCTTCCTGGACCAGTGCCCTCCTAGTGCTCTCTTTTTCCACTACTCCAGCTCAGCAAGCAATTTCCACAAGAACACAAACTGATCAGGTAATCAACAGCCCTCTGGCACTTCCACCTTTCTCAAGGCTAGTGGGCCACTAGCTGCCCCTTGACTTTTCTTTCACTTGTCAGGAACACTCAGGAAACAGAAATTGATGATCTTAGATAATTAAACAGAAATCAGTTTCAGTGTGGCAAGGAGCCTGCTATGGGCTGTTATCTCTTCCCTCTGCCAAATCCAGGCTTCTCCACAAAGGCTGTGATGACCACAGAGTGAGCTGGACATTTGCCTCAGAGACCTGCAGTGTTTCACCTCCCCACTCTTATGTCTTCCTGAGTTATACATGGCTTATAAAAGCACAAAACAGAAACTGCATTTTCAAAGTGTTAAAAGCAATGAATAAGTAGCTGAGTAAAAAAAGAAAAATCCCACATTCTCAGCAGGAAACCGTTCAACTTCTGTTGTTTGTCATACCATACTCCCTGTTCCACTGCCTGCTCCAGAAACCAAATACTTCATTTTATTCACATTTCTGAGATACTTTATCCACCATAACTTAACTTTTTTTTCTTAGCACATAACTTTGTGAAATATGGCTATTCTTTCTTTTCATTCTAGCTGAATGATTTTTCATGCTTTCATTAGCCCAAAGTGAATGATGCAGCACTTCAGTTATACAGATAAACAGATCCCATGCACTTATCAAACTCAGCCAAGACTTGGGACTTCCATGCAACCTGTATTTTTCTCATTGAAAAATAACAAGTACAAGAAGCATCAAGATATTTATGTCCCGACAAAAGAATGAAAAGGTGTTTGTAATGGGAAGGTTAGAATTCCCCCATTCTAATCCAGGAGTTTTAAACTCAGATGCCAAATTGGTCATTTTCGGCTGCATATAATCAGTGAATATAAACGAGAACCTCCCCGTGACAAAGCCAGCTTTCCCCAGCACATGCCTAAGGTCATATTCCTTACTCCCTGGAGGGCAAACTCTCTCTTTTGACTGCAAAGAAAGCCCAGGAAGGCTAGTTTGGATTTGGATTTTAAATGTAAAGTATCTAAAATAGATAAAGTGGTAATTATGCCACAAAGCACCTTTGTTCTCTTTAAATCAGAGGAATGCTCCACAGAAAAGGCACTGGCTTTGCTTGCTGAGAAATGCCTTGCACTATGCATCTTGGGTTGTAAAAGCAGCAATGAAAGCTCCTTGTGTAAGAGTCATAAGCAGGAAAAAAGGTCAAAAACTCCCTCAGTATAGTAGACAATCTGTCCAAAACTCCGCAAAAAATAAAATATTCTAGGAACAGAAGGCCCATCTCTTCAAAACGACACTTAATTCATTTCAGTGACTCCACTGAGATGAAAGTTACCAACAGAGTGTGGGAGCTAAACCATCAGCAAAGCTTACAGCTGGAAATGCCTGAGATGCCTGAGATGAAAAGTTCCCAAGAAAATCCAAAAAGGACTGGCAAAGTCAGCTCTCCAAATTTGCTAATGTAATGCTAGCAGCACCTCTGTTGCTACATAATGGACTGCAAAGATATTCAACCATTTGAAGGCTTATTTCAGGAAGACTCAGAATTATTTACTGTCTCGTGACAGTTCCAAATGTGGGAGAATGTTAATTAAATAACATGCTTCAGCCATATAGTTCTGACTTTAGTAATGACTGCTAATTACTCAGCTTTATATGCTAGAAGCCAACTGTTATCTTACAGAAAGTTATGGAAGACAGTTCAAAAATATCTCCATTTACTCAGCCAACCTAAATATCAGATTTTTTCCAGAATCATAAAAATTGATTTAAATTATTTTCCTGGGACTGAAAGATGATGCTGTGAGCAAGTAGGGTATTGAACAGAGTTGAACTTCACAAGACAGGAGAATTACGCCTCAAACAGTGTGATTCTCTTGTGTAACTACAGCAAAACCAGTTGCATGTTGCTCTTCTCTAAGACTTCCATTATTTGGGACTTTTTCAGATCTAAATGACCTTCCTTTCTGACAAATTTCAAAAGCAATGCTATAATACTTAATTCTGTACTATGATTAAATTTATCCTCTTCTAATGATGGGAGAGACACAAACTTCAGTTCTAAGCTGTTATACATATAACACTATTACTTTTGAGGCAGCTTCAGACTGTCAAAGTTCACTAGAGCCTGTGACTGCAGGTAGGTTCCCACACATGCCTAACTTTTTTTCTGCTTCTGCTGGGAATATGAACACCTTTAAGTAACATGGCCATTTTCTCTATTTTAGAGAGAGATGGTGATTTTCTTCCACTCAAAACATTATCTACAGAATTCAATGTAGCTCCTAAAATGAATATAACTGTCCTATTTTTTAAATTTTGCCTTCCCTTTCCTTCCCTTTCCTTTCTTCTCTCCTCTGCTTTGCTGTCCTAAAACCACTCCAATCCATGCTATTGCCTTACCTTACTACTGTGACAGGCTATGATAGCATTTTGAGAGTGACAGTCACACAACACACTCACACAAATTTTTCTTGTTATGTATTCAGATGTAATGCAAGCTATTGTTATAGTATCTGGAAGTGGATTGAGTTTTAAATCTTAGAATCATAGAAACGGCTTGGATTGGAAAGGACCCCAAAGATCATCCAATTCCAACCCCCTGCCATGGGCAGGGCTGCCACCCACCAGGTGAGGCTGCCCAGGGCCCTGTCCATCCTGCTCTTGATTACCTCCACGGATGGGGCGCTCACAGCTTCTCTGCTGTTTCACCACCTCACTGCTCTTCCAGTGAAAAATTTTCCCCTGACGTCTAATCTAAATTTCTCCTCTTTTAGTTTAAAACGAATGACCTCAAAGATCGAAACCTAACCTGCCTTTATTGTTCATGCTGGTCAGTGTGATAGAATTGCTCTGATAACAGGATTATATTAAAAACAATGAACAATTAAATTATACACATACTTCCTGCTTCATCCTAAAACTCGCATAGTTAGGCATTTGTGAGCTGCTACACAAAGGATCTTTGAGCCCTGTAGTCTCTCATTTCACCAAGAAACATGCAGAAGCTCCTTATGGACTTCATATACAGAAAGAGTAGAGAGATACAATGGGTTGAGTAAAAGCATCGAGCAGGATTCATGTAAAGGCCAAACAAAAATGATTTTTCTTCTTTTTATATGAAGAGCATAGATTTCAGTCCAATACTTTGTGGGTAGACTTCCTCTGCCTGCTCTTTATTCAGAGAAAATACTATATTTCAAAAGTACCAGCTGATTTTCCTCATCATAATTTCTGACAGATAGCTCATTCTCTCAATAGGACTGGAACACCACGTACGCTGGTGGTTTTTATTCTCAGATCATTTTCAGCTCTTATTTATTTTCTCTTGCTCATTCTTGTCATTCTTGTTTCTTCAAAGTCATCTTTTGCATTCTCCTCCCCTCCTATGTTCCCCACACTCTGACACTGGCTTTATCCCCACACTGACTCTGCTTCTCGCTCATCCTACTTCTGTCAGAGCACCTATTGGCTCTGGCTGTTGGCTCCGACACTCTGGCACGCTGTTCTGCTCCACCTTCCTCCCCTCCACCCCTTTTCCTTCCTCTCCTCCCTCTAATGATTGCTTTCCCTAAATGCCAGTCATTAGAGAGGTCAGGAACAAGCAGTGTCACAAACACATGGAAAAGTGTTTCCTCTACTTCCCATTTTAACATAATCTCTGTTCCAGATGGTTACAAGCATTACCTGGTTGCAAATTGCTAATGTGCATCTGCTCTAAAATTAGGCAACAGAGTGCAAGAGCATTAAATTGCAAAACAGGAGGGGAGACAGCAAAAATTGCCATGTTGGTTGTTACAGCTGCTTGCCACACCTATAATTACCATTGTCTGACAATTCCTATTCCGTGGTGTTTTTTTAGTTCTGATTATTTTGTCAGATCTGCATCACTATGGCTTAAATATTCCAGCTGCACATCTGCTTTAAGAAAGTATCAATTTAAATGGTGCAAGTGTCTAAGACTGAATTTAAAGAAAGGCCAGCTTTGGTTACATTTTAATAGTGTTAGAAAATGTAGATGAATTTTTCCTTTGAAAAACTTCATATCCTCATATTTGGGGAGAGTAGTTTGAAGCTTAACAGGGAGCATCCTGGTATGAGAGGAGACTTTTCTCACGTACACAGGAGAATAGGAGATGGGAAGGAGAGCAGGCTGAGTCAGGAATCTGAAGGGTTGATTTCTGGAACTAAGACAGAACTAAGACAGATGGGCTAGAGCGAAAAAGTTAGGGTGAATAGGAAAGAAAAGTTTACGAAGGGCATAGGGATCTAATTCTACTAGGATGTAGTCTCCTTCAAAAAAGGCATCTCACCCTTCTAGCGCAGTAAGCAGAGACAGACAAACACCCTCTCAGGAAGGATATGAGTTTGTCCAGTTATCTAAAGGATTCTAATAGCTTACACAGGCATCAATATCATTGCGATGTCGGTAACATTTCTTCTTAGTGTCTAAAAATCACATGAAATAGACTTCTTACTGTGAAATGTTTTCTACTCGCTTTTCTAAGTGTTGTGAAATGGCACAGAACAAAGCCATCACAGAAAAAAACATAAGATGCTGCACAAAAGAATTAGGAAATGGTACAGCTGCTTGTATTACCTTATTTCATCTCCCCTGGTTTACAATATTTGCTCTGCAGTATAATCCTGTGCCTCATTCAGTGTACACAAGATCCAATTTAGAGATGTCTACAAGAGAAGACTGTTGGCTCTTCAGCCTTCTTTCTTTTTCTCCAGAAGTTGCAAGAAGATAAAGGACCATTCTGCAGCTGAGCACTTTCAAAAATAAATGGATTCCAAATTTGTCTCTGACACAGACTTCCACAAAAGGTACTTCAGGGACTTGTGTTACTTCAGGGATGGGTATAACTCCCTAGCACATGTGAAGAGCAAAGTGCCTGTGGTTAATAAGCCCCTTGAAAATGTATGCTCACAGCCTGGCTGCTGCCACTTTGCTCCCAAATACCTAAACCTGAGCCAGAATGCCTCCTACGCAGAACACACAGCAGCCAGAGCACTGGGAATCATGTCTGGACTGCCACATTCAACCTCCCAAAACTGCAGGAAGGAGTCTGAGCCTGCCAATCCTTCAGCCCCAGAGCTAAGAAGGGGAGCTACACTGATATCCAGATTCTTCCAATGAGTAAATGGTTTTAATAAAATGCACAAGTTACTTTTATCTACCTAACTGCAAAGCCATAAGTAGATACAAAGTACTCTTTATCTTCCCTACAACCAAAATCACCTCCATTTCCTCCAGCTGGAAAAACTGGATACTTATTGCACACTAACCATGTTGTAGTATAAACACACCTTTCTCTGCCAAAGCATCAGTGCCATGAGTGCCATAAGACGTTACAGATGAACCTCACCTGGGGCTTCTGCCCACGTTTTTCCCAAGACACAGGCCACTATTTCAGCTCAGCCATCATTCCCCTCATCAGCAAAGCCATAGGAGTGACAGCCTGTTGGCCCTGTCTCCCACATGTACTCACATCCACAATGCAGCTTCATCTCCAGTCCTGCCTCTGGCTCCGTCTCCTTTTCCTATTGGATGAACACCTGCATCAACTCTGGACCTGGGTTATCATACCCTGAGTTGCTGCTAGAGCCTGTTGCCAGCACCCAGTTCTGCCCAGTATGCTTAGCCTCCATGGGACAGCATGCATCAGTGAGGGCACTGGAGTCACTGTCAGCCCCAGCCCCTTCAGGGAGCTTCACTGCTCCTTGGCACCGAGAAGAAAGGTGCTGTGAAGTAATAGGCAGCCAATGTCTGCATTCACTTGTAATTCATGTAGTCTCCAGGAAAGAACTAGGTCAAGCTATAACAAGAAATCATTCCCAGCACATAAGGTCAGATAGACACCGCTCTGGGATACAGATTATGTCCTTCATAATCTTTTTTTCGTATTCTTCTATGTCATAAATGCTGTGTGCTTTCTAATAGAACATGGTGACTCAACATCCATGAGAGTCGATGTTCCTCAATCATCTCCCACATACCTTCCGTTTTTGCAGCACCACTAAAGCACCTTCTACAAAATGCTTTGGCAGTACTTCAAATCCCTCCACCCCCAAACACCTTTTGCTTTCAGAAACTGTATCTGAGTTGGACACTGGCACCTATAAAAAGCATTCTCTTGAGTGCCATCTGTCAATGAGTCTTCAGCAAGGCTATAAAACAAGGGCACTGACAAACACATGCCAAAACTCAATGCACGTCAGTTTGAGCATTTACAAAAAATATTCCAGGTTACATAAACAGGGCAGAAGTCCTATATGGTTCCCCAGCCTCTTTTGCGTCAGTCTCCTATCAGAGATGGCATTTGCTGTTGGCTTTGCTCCTTTTTCCATCAGTCAGCCTTGACAAAGTGAATATCATTTGCCCCTTTGCCAGTTTTAACACCAGAGTCAATATGCTAAGTGGCCACAGCAAATGCAAACCCTATGGTGTGACGTCGTTTGAGGTAAGCAGAGATGATGTTTTCCAGGAAAAACATATCCAAAGCAGATGTAAGCTCTCTGAACATAAAGCAGGAGAGAGTCTGTGGATTATGTGATAGGAAAATGACCTGCTTAATTAGGATACTAATTGGGATGTTATTAGCTGTGCTAATAACATGCCATGTGACCTTGAGTTGTTTGCCTCTCTGCTCACCTCCATCCTTTTATTCATCTTTGCTACTCCAGTTAGATATCTAACATGTTCTCCTGATATTTGACAAATCCTGGTTTGCTATCTCCAGCATTCTGTATGTGGCACAATCATCTCTGATGACTTGGCATACTCTTGAATGGCAAATTTACATAAGACAATGCCACACCATGCTAGTGTGCATGCTTAGTGGTGGCTGGCTCCTAGAAAGGGAGTAGTGCTGGTCCTTGGCAGTTTGTGACTCTGGGATGGCCAACAGTCACGTGCAGCACGAAGTATGTGGGTGTCTGACAACTGTGAGAAATTTGCTTCCAGTCCTCTCCAGGATAAAGATAGTGATCTGGGTTTGATTGTGTGTACCATTTGAACATAGCTGTGGCACTGCTAGCATCTTTCAGCGTGAGGATGTCTGTGAAGGCTGGCTACACTGGAACATTTTTGTAGAACATCCTGCTGCTCCAGAAGATCTGTGAGTGTCTCCAGCAGTGATCTTCCTCTATCCCACCACATAGGTCTTGTAAACCCAGAGTCTTGACATTGCCTGGTGCTGCGTGGCACAGCTACCTTCCATCTGCACCTGGGAAACCATGGAAAAAATAACTCTCCCAGAGATCAGGCAGGTGTGGAGGATGAGGCGAGCTACAGGGGAAGGTTACTGCAATTTGGGAAGCAGAGCACTGTGGAAAAAGATGGTACAAAAATAAATGGCAGCTAGTGACAGCAGGCAGTCAAGTGACTGGAATGATCGGGAAATTTGACTGATCATCTTGAGTGCCAAATCCATTTTCAAAAACCCTAGGGGACTCCCTTAAAAATAACTACCTTGCTGAAGATAGTGAGGAAGGCAGTTGTGTATTACCCTGTCTTTTCTGACTGCAAAGAATTAATGGCTTCATTTTTTATTTGATTCTTAAATGCCAAATGAGCATGGAAGGAGTCACAAGGCAGAAACCGCAAAAGCTGCCTCTATGGAAACATTTGTTACCCACACCATTTTCTCTGTTGGCTTCATAAGAAGAAAAGCTATCGCTGGGAAAGAGACAAATCACTGGATTGGCTCCTGCAGGTCCCTAGGCCTTTGCTCAGTGAAATGAGTGATGCTAGCAGGAGGATATGATATGCAATTATACATCTCTGGCCATTACTACATCCAGCAATTCGTGCCTAGGACTAGAGAGCAGAGATGAAGATAACTCATGCAGAGCAAAGCAGACAAAAAACTTGAGTTTAAACCTGAGATCTTAGGCCATATCATATAAAATCAACCACTCAAAGCAGAATGGGCAAGTAATTATAGTACACTCTTCCAATGCACTATTTTCCCCTTATTTCAGAGTTTTTCTTTCCTAAAATAGTTTCCAAAAAAACAATACTTCAGATGTTTGAGGATTTACAGCTTCTCCCATGTCCTGTTTTGTTTAGAGCCTTCTCAGAAGAGCATCAACAATAAGGAAGCAAAAAGAGGAGATTAACTGGGAATTTAACCACTATTCCCAAAAAGGAAGAGACGGTAGTCTTGTTCCCTCATGTGAAAGGTCCCAAGAGGAAAGGTAGTGGGCTTAAAAATGACAAAAACTCTTCAAGATATTTTTCAGATTTCCCCTATTTTTTTCAGACCAAAGTACTGTCAACACAGGATCATTCTCTCCAACACTTTTTCATTAAAACAGCATTTTCTAGTGGAAAACTTCTGTCAAAATGTCATGGACAGCTCTATTCAGCAGCCTCTGTTGCCGTGGAGACCTTCTCAAGGTTACAGAGTATTAATAATAGTTCCTCAGCCAAGTCGCTCCTTGCTTACCCAGCAAAGGAGCCGGCCAAATCAGGGCTCCCAAGAGTATTCACCTGTCAAGCAGGAGGGGCCAGTAAGTCCTTAGTCACTTTAGAGGGATTGCAACATTTTCCAGGCAGAGTCACTTCGTGTGATTCTCGATTTACTTACAGTTATTCCTGACTTTATTTTTTAGTTCACCTTCCTCTTCTAGAGAAACATATCTGTGAATCTCTAGGCCGTGAGTAAACATTCAATGTTTTCCTGCACAGGAAACATGCCTCACTCTCTGCTCTTCTGTCTGCAGTTTAAGCCACACCTTTGCCACTGTCAGCCCTGTCTGGAGTCCCTCTGACTACAGCATTACTGTTCAGACTCAGAGTTGCAAGAAAAGGTCCCCATATCTATTGATTTTTTGGTGAAAAAGAAATAATATTGCCTTTTTATGCCCTAGGCATAATGGCCTTTATCTCCATCTATTTTTAGAGAGCAGAGAATGGCTGACAACAGATAGCTGTTGATACCAGGCAGTGCTGGGTGAGAGCCAGGCCCCAAGATGATAATTAAATGCTTTTTGTTAGTAATGCTTCAAATTTGAACCTTCAAAGTATAGACCATGTCTGTCTAGACTCTTAGATATTAAGTTTCCCAAGCAGTGATGTGGTCTTGCCTGTGTTTGTACACACTGGTGTACACATCCCTCCACTAACAGCACGAGCTGCATTGCCCAACCTGATAAAAGTGGTGAAGTGGGATGTTTTAAGCAGGATGCCTTGGAGGGGTCACTCTGGGACAGGTCTGCTCAACACCAGTGAAGTGCTGCCTTCACTCTGTAATAAAGACAGAACCACTTTCTGCTTTTTTTCATCCATACGAGACTTTCTCACAAGCTTTCATACGAGGCTGCTTTTCTGAATCTAGAGAGATCCCCTCTTCCCTAGCGTCTCTCACAGCATAGTTTTAATTAAGCTTCTTCATTATCAGCTCCAAAAATAACTCCTTTCCTCCTACCGGAGAACTGCCCTCAGTACTCCTTACCCTGAATTCACCCGGTCCACTCTTTCTGGACTACAAATCTTCAACAATATGGTAAATTCTCCTCAAAGACAACAGAGAATGGATGCAAAAGAGCCACTGGACATTAGGCAAATTCACTCTGCTGGCTCAAATGCAATAAAACATATTTTATAGATTAATCTGACACTTTTTTTATGTTCATCTTTGCATAGCCACCATCAAGTCTGAATGAACAAGCAATACCAAGATCCAAGCAAGCTTGCGTTCAACAGAAAAATAGTTCTGTGTCCATCCACCACCTGGCTCAGGTCTGCAGAGGTGGCTGACCTGGGAGTGCCTTGGTCTCAGCACCAAGGCCTGGGAGAATTCATGCTTCACAGAAGAAGGTCTTCCCCTGTACTACAGGCTTACAATTTGGCCTGTGGAAACTTACACTTGGTGGAGCAACTTCTGCTTTTCTACAAGCACCACCTTTGGTTTGCTTTCCTCTCAAGGGTGCAGGGAAGGGCCAACACTCCAGAAATGCAGGCTGACTGGTTGTACCTTGAGGGTTTGGCCTCAGCCCTCTGAAGTAGGGCAGTTTCATCACCCTAATAAGGGGTGGACTGGACCACTCCTTAGTGACAATATCTGAACTCTTCAGAGCAGACTATGCACAATGATTAACAGAGTATGTCATTCCACTTGCAAAGGTATTGATGATAGGTTATCATTCTTCAAACATGCATTTATGTAGGAGAATTTTTAGCTACCTGTAGTTTTATAGCTTCCCCAACCTTTGACCACGCAATGCTTCAGCAATTCAATAAAAACGACTGCTTCAGCAACAACTGAAGATAGGAAGTAGAAAATAATCAATGTGCTTTCAAGACTGAAGTACTCAAGAGTGGAATAAAACAATCTGTATGCTCACAAGGTGAACCTAGAAAGCTCTCACGGCAGCCTTACTGAAAAAAATAAAAGCATTGACTAAATAGCTGTGCGGGGATCAGGACTCTTTAAGGGAAGCCAAGGAGGTACTACTGAGGCAGAAAAGTAGGTCTGCTCTTTTTAAGCAAGATGAGAAATCTGACACTGCAAAAATTTGCTCCGCAGTAACAAATTTTTGGCAGGAACATGCCATGCCAGTGCTTCACCTTTCACTCCCATTGGCAGCGCAGAGCCTTCACAGGCGCCCTGTGAAACGCCACGCACCACGACTTCTAAGGCCCTGCTGTGACTTCCACCAAGGAGCCAATGCCAATTAAAAGTCATTTTTTAACAGGGATTAGTTCCTCAATCTGGCTCATTACTTCTGTGTTAGCTGAGTGAGGGGATAGTTCTGTGATGTTCAAGGGAAGGAAAGTCCGGAAGCAAGAGGCCTCATAAAGAGCATCTCCAATTTGTAATGAGAACAGCCTCTTGATCAAGATTCTTCCTTATGTAAAAGAACAGCTTTGCTCTAAATTACAAATAATTATGATGATGGGAGAAATGCCAAGGAAGTTGTGAGGAGAAATCAGGAGCAGCTTGAACACAAAAAGAAAGGGGACCATAAAAACCTAAGTAAGCTTAGGTTACAGACAAAAATTTGTTAAGCAACTTGGTGTTCCTTCAAGGAAGTCAGCTTAACGACCAACATAGTCTTCAACCATAACATGAAATACAAATATCTAGGAAAAACAAGTAAGTAAACTGCATATACAGTCCTTTCTTACATCCCAAAACTACCAGGCGTTGGTCTATCACTATTCATCATAGTTGCCTAAAGCTTAAATTCAGTGGTATCATCATTACAAAAATGCACTGAACTGTAACAGCTATACTCAGCAGATGGTTAACATTTGCTATGGGATCTTCTGACTCCAATTTATGTCCTCTGACTAAGGTTAAGAAGAAGAGATGATTTTTACCAGCCCATCTCTTTCATATCTTTATTGAGGAAATATATCTGACTTTAATTGTGTCCACCTGTACTCAAAAACGCAATCGATAAAACTGGGAAATTGATCTTCAGTGATTCCTAATAAAGAGTATCTGCTTGTTCAATTCTATCAGTGTTTATAGGCCACTGAAAAATAATCATGGAGATGAAAGTATAAAAGAAAGAGCTTGTGTTCTGAACATGTCCTGTGCATTAAACTCGTTCTGAACACTCCTGCTTAAGCTCCATTTTGTAACAGTCTCATTAGATCAGTTCATGAGTCATTAATTCACCTTGTTAATTTATCAGAAAAGTTTTCCTCTGTAGCTTGCCAATCCTTCCTTGTTCAGAGAAAGGAGAAATATGGTACGGTTGCAACGTCAGTTGCATTCCTATCTATGTTTACAATTGCTCTGTGGTTTGCCTTGCAAGTTTTCCTATCAGTGGCCCTGACCCTGTTTCTAAGACTTTTGAAATTCTGGTGTCCACACAGGACTCTTCAGATGGAGTGACAGAGTGCTGTGGGAAGATTAGCGTGAAATGCAGGAACAGTGCTTGAATCAAGGATGAGAAAAAGTCTCTCATGTAGGGAGTTTTCTCCAGTTACCCACAACTTGTGTTCTGACTTCTAGACACCAATGGCTATTTACCACTTTTAAAGGGAACTGAGGCATCTACAAAGAGGATAGAGATTCTCATCTGGTCTAGGCACATTCCTGTGAAGGAGAAAGAACTTTGGTTTCACATTGTGCAATTCACCACTTCATGTTTGATGCTTTAGGTAGCTGCAGACCGCTTTGCATCTTAATCTGAGACACCTTTGTGTGCCTTTCCACATATTACGCCAGAGCCTGGGGCCAAGCAACAGGCTGTAAATTCCACTCTGGCAGCCAGGACTCTACCAGGTAAGCACCACTCTGATAGTGCTGAAGTCCCCCCGTGGATGTAGATATCAGTGTATAATCACTGCCAGAAATAAATGACTATATTACTTTCAGCTGGCAAAGCTGCAGTAATAAATCCACAAGTTATTTTTCTGTTAATTGTATTAGGAAATTTGCTGCTTAGTGCTACTCTCTGTGCTCCCTTCGGGTCAGATTTGTTCCTTCTTGATATCAAGGCATTTGCAAGTCAGATTGTTCAGAGTAATAAGTTTTCCTAATGATTAAATTAACACCGTGAAATTCCAACATGTAGGACTGACAAAACTGGACTTTGGAAAAGTATTGACTTCTGTTTTTGTCTTTGGAAAAATGCTACAGACATCATCCCACATGCAGCTGTACTCTGGTTCATGCTGTTCATCTGTTTGTCTAGCTTTGTGATTATTGGACCAAAATAAATCACTATAGAGACAAATACTGTCATACAAAGCAAACTCTGAAATACTTTGGTTAAGAACATGAATTTTCTTACTGTTACTTTTCAGACTACCAATAGACAAAAATTAAAGCCAATCTGTGCATTCCAAAGATTACATATCCTTACAGAAATAAAAGATATAACTGCATGTTTGAAAAATAAAATATTTGAAGATTTACCTCCAATGCTGCATATGAAAATTATTTAGAGTCACTTATCCATGTTGAGTGATCAAAAAATTTCCTTCCATTACAGAGGAGCACCCAGAAATAAGAAGATAAGATGACCAGTAGTGCTTACAACAAAAGCCTGTGTCAACCTATATACCTGCATATGATAAAGACAGCCACATGCAAGGATAAAGACATCAACTGGTTGGCAGTAGAGACTTGAGCCTTCTAAATCACATGGCAAAGATAAATTAGAACTATCTGCCACCTACATCAGATGGTGAAGGAGTCAGGAACACAATGCTCTGGATACCAATTAGTAGCATAATGGAGCCAGTATCTCATGTTCTAGTGTGTCAAATTCCAGCAGTGCCAGTGAGATCAGAACAGAAGTCACAGCAAGGTCACTGCAATCTGTCAGCAGGACCGCTTCAGCTAAGTACCACATCCTAATCCCTGTCTGCTGAGAATTTACCAGAGGAGAAGTGCTGGTAGTTAAAATGAACCTAAAATAATATTTACCAAAGGCATCAGGCCGATAGATGACTTGCGCTGTAAAGACTGTAAAATGCAGTTTATTTTTAACTGTTAAATGAGCATGTTCTGTTTTGATACAGAAATATTCTGAAGTCTGTTTATTCACAGAAATGGCAAGGACATCAGCAGCGTGGCAGAGACAGTACAAACACCTTCAAATAACATACCACTTCATCCAGCCGCTGTTTGGAGGAATTACTGCTATATGGAAAGATGGTTGTGCCCATATGCATCCCTTTAGTGGCTCACCCTCAGGAGTGAGTCAGTTCAGGATGCAGCAACTGTATTAAGAGTACTACACAAATACTGATGAACTCATCCTCCTAGCATCACTTGTCAGGCAGAGAAACGACACCCATGCTGGACAGTGCATGAAGCGCAAAGCAAAAACTTTCTTGTATAATATTTTGCCAGAAGTAATTAATCAGAGCTCACCCATGTGTGTTAACAGTGAAGTCCCACTCCCAATGTCAGCATACTTTTATGCCCAGCCTGAGGCTGTTTGTAGTCACAGCAGGCAACTTAGCTGACAAGGAATACAATTTCTCCAGCACTCTCATAGTGCCAGGAAAGGAGGGTGAAGTGGCACACTTGAGCTTCAGTAAGGTGAACTGGGGTTGTTGCTTTGTATGTAGATACAATCCCCATGTGCTTCTTACAAAAATAAACAGTACTTTTCCATGTGCACTTAAAATCTTTGATGCTAAAAACAGTAGCTGCCCTAATTTAGTCAAGGTAGATGAAATGTAATAGAGAGAAGAACCCACTCCTAGGGATTAGAAGACATGTTAGTCCCATCTTTATTCTTTCTGAGGTCCATTGGCTCCTGTTTGTACATTCTACTATCAATCTTCTGTCTGCTCAGAATTTTTTTTAGAGGGACCTATTCCCAGGAAAGAAAATGGGAGATAATTTTAACTTATTCAGAACAGCTGTTGAGCAAAAGGAGATGAGTAGTCCAGTTACGTACTAGAAGACTGAAAAGACCAGTGGCAGTTTTGTTGTGCCATTTCCAGACTTCAGCAGGCTTTCAGCACAGTGTCTCTCGCAGGTAAGGTTTCACACTGCAGCTGGCTTGATCTAACAGCATGCTGCTAAAATGGGTGGGCTGCCTCCTCCGCCATTCCTTTCTGTGTCTTGCTGCTCCATACCTTGCATGGCTTGGCAGCACAACCAAGCTGATCTGACTCACTAGATACTCAGAATATGCACTTTCTTGAGCTGCAACAGTTTTTTGTGAGCTCAGAGAACTGAAATGACCAAGATTAAGATAAGTGCAAAGCAAGAACTGTGCAGCTCATGGTGGGAGGAAGAGTAGAAAGAGAAATGAAAAAACTAGCTTTTTCACATAGTGGTGACCTTTACAATAGATGTGCCATGCTGTGAGCCCTCTTACACATTACAGTAGAAGAAAGAAGTCTATGAGGTGACACCTTCCATTGGTATCATGGAAATGTTTCTCTGTCTTACATTGAAGGACTTCAATTAATTGAGTGGCTGGTAAGGACTGCAAACCACAGAAGCAGACAGGATGTTTATCTTACACAATAATTACTGCCTAGAAGCCTTAGCAGGTGAAAAATTCTCTTTTTCCTCTACACAAAGAAACTAATATCTATTGCAATAGTCTAGTGTGAGATAAACTATCAACATATTGTCTAAATAAGCAAGACAGTCAAGCAGGAAGGGACAGCATGCAAACACATGGCCATTTAGATTTGATCAAGAAGTGAACAATGTTTTAAGTCTGTGTATAAATGCTTTCACTTTCAAAAAAAAATAAGCCACAAGTAATTTACTTGCTAAGAAGTGCTAATTTCCTTTTATTTTTTTTTTTTCCTCCATTTACCAGATACTTGAAGTGCACAAATGAAAAAGGGATTCCAGAAATAAATAGAAGACAGTATTGCTTAAACACCCTGGAGAGTCACTCTACCAACCTATAGCCCCAACTGTGGTCATATGGAAAACCAACCCAACAATTAACAACCACTTATCTTTTCTGCCACCTTGTATCTGAAATAAACCCTTTCAACAGTAGGATCAGAGCAAAGGAAGGAGAAAGGAGAAACGAACAAGGTAAGTTTACAAGATTACGAATATTCTTTACATTTCAAACTGTTTTCTTAATTAGGAATACAGACGGTTGTCTGCATGTTTCCTCTCTTTTTGCTCTCTGCAGCTCAGACCAACACTGGGCACCTGATGTGTTCCTGCAATCAAGCAACAGGCATGCAGACTTCTGGATTTCTGAGGGATGCTTAAAATATAGGGAAGAATGAAAATGAAGAGATTATAGGCAGGTTGGGATAATAGATGCTAAGCAAAGCTTTTATGTCTCCCATATTTGGCCAATGATGCAAAGAGAGAATCTGCACAGGTAAGCAGCACGTAGGAATGAGTGTCAGAAGACTTCTCTGGGACGGTGTTACAAAACTGATTATCCCTTTATGTGAGTACAATCACCATATCCACCTGGCACTAACAGCTGATAAAAAACCATCCCAAGGTAGCTTTTAACAGTGCTTTCATGCGAGGCTCTGTCAATTGCTTTAGGTGCAACAATGCATCCCATATAGAAGGGTAAAACCCAGGTTAAATACAGAATTAGCACATAACAAAGGAAGGACATCATGCTTGAATCTCTCCCAGTAGCTAAGTCTTCCCTCATTAGCAAGGCAGAGCAGCGGAGCAGTGATATTTCTGTCCAAGTGTTCAGACTAACTGAAAAGTGAGGCAATCAATTGCTAATTTCATAGCTTCTCTGGTTCCTATAAAAATAAAACTTTGTCATGATCCATTCATTAGATTTCTCACCACACCAGCACAGATGACTCCTTATGCCATTGTACTTCCATAAGGAATTACAATCAGCAACACAGGAAGTCTGAGTAAGTGAGCATGGAAAACCATCAATAGCAGAGAGAGCACCGCAGCGTAACAAACGCTTATCCACATGAGTGGCTCCCACCAGAGGAAAGATGTAATTTGTAGCTGCTTCAGTTTCAATTGTGGAGACTGAGAAAAAAGAAAGACTTCCTTCTTTTGTGCTGGAATCTCTTTCATGATGAAGCTATCAAATTCAAATACCAATCATTTGACAGGCTCTTCTTTAGACATACTCAGCAATTCATTTACTACTTAAAAGCCAGCTGACACTGCCAAAATGAATGAGGGTTTGGCAAATAACTTAAGACTAAGAATCTCCCCTCTAAATTTAGTGAGTGCTGTGTTCTATTGTTTATCACAGAGGACGTTTATTGGATGGACTAAAATCCCAATATAGTAGGAACATATTTAAACATAAAATGCCTACCATAAAGTTATTAATATAAACCTATTTTTGAGAAGCTAGGGAGACCAGACGAGAAAAACTTTCTGAAAATAATGGATGACTTCAGTGTGACACCAGCTGTGCGCAGGCTGGTATACAGTTACACCAGATACCTATTTTGCACAATAGGTCTCATGATAGGTAAGAGTGTGTTACAGGATGGATCCACATTAAATTGTGACAATTTTGGCTTCTGCACCATTAGAAGAAACTGCTCAGCTGATTAGAATTATGGTGTTTCTGTAAATCAATCCCTCACATGGGATGTCAAAAGAAAAATTATTTTGTGAGTAGCAAATGCAAGCACACTGATCCATGCACAAGTATCCTGCTGGTATGTAAACGTCCCCCATGTTTCTACCATTAAAGCTCTGTCATGGGAGTGCAGCCAACTGCACTGACAGGTAAGCAGTGTAACTCCAATACAGAGCCCAGAAACATACCTGAAGATAGAGAAGTTTAAATCAAGGGCTGGGGACCAGTAATTCTCAGTTTTACTTCCTTTTCGAGCACTGCAAGGCGATAGGGCATATGGCAAGTCATTACAAACCATCGTGCAAAGCCTCCTGGAAAACAAAGATAGCTCATTCACCTGAAAAAGAAAACGCATAGAGTATCTACTCCAGAGAAGTACTTAGAACACTAATTAGGGAACTGTTCTTTTCTCTTATCTCCATTTCAGTCTACTCTCTTCATTACAGGATAAGCCCATCTCTAGCAAAGAGAATTTTACACGTGAGAGAAAAAGTATTAGAGCATAAACCTCACTTTCAAGTCATGGCCTTTTTTGCATTTTTTTGTTTTTTTTTTTAAAACTCATAAGATTAAAAGAATTCAATCATTCTAGTCCATGGATGAAAGACTTAAAAAATACCCCAAAACATAACAGTCATACATTTCAGTGAATGAAACGAAGTGGAAAAAAATAGAAGACTCATCTATGCCTTAGTAAAGAGAATCAGAAGCAAAGCAGCTATGAAAGAAAATTATAAAAAAAAGTAAAGAGAAACTCGGTGACTAAAAATGGGAGCTATGAAACAGATTCTCAGCATATATGAACACTTCACCTTTCACGCTGAAAAAAAATAAATTATTTCAAGATACAGTTTTAAGCTGATTGTTGTTGTTTTAAAAAGAAGACCAAGCGTGGAGTATTTCCATCAGTAATAACCTTCCCATGTGAGCAAATATATTTCTCCCTTAGTTTGCTGATCTGTCATGGCAATGCCAGCTTAAAAAATTCACCCACCACCAGTTTGATCCTGTTCTCTGCTTCATGACAGTGCATGTTTGTGAGGTCCTGGAGTGAACAGGTTTTGGACTGACTGCACCCCCAGTCCCCGCCTAAACCCTGCTTTTTCTCCCAGATGGATCACCCCTCAACTCCACAAATGGCAGATTGGGAGACTTCAAACTGTCAGAAAGATGGGGCTTTCTGGTGCCTAGAAAGTGCTCAAACAGCCCTGCCATCAAATGCCCTACTTCATGCTCAATAAACATTTTATTTAAACATTAGCTGGCTCTGTCTCCCAGAGAAGTCGTCCCTGACATCATGGGTTCACCTGGTTTTTCCCATCCCATGTCTCCATTTCCTTTTGGCATAGAAAGATGTTTTTTCACAGCATTACAATGGACAGGAATGGGGAATTTGCCCAGCTGAAAAATAGATTTTGCCTTTGTTTTGCTCAAGTTAGTTCTTGAGGGATGTATCCCCCCCTTATTGCATGTACAAACATGAGGACACATGCCAGTGCCTAGGGACAGGAAACCACAGGGGTGGCTTCGTTGGAGTCTGACTTAGCCAGTTTACATGGCCACTGAATTAAAATCCTGTGAGCCCTAAAGCTGTTCTTTGTAGCAATAGCCATACAGCCACTGTTTTGCTGTAACTGTGTACTGCAACGAGAACACAATGGATCAAAGTAGCAACCTACAAATAAATAAACCACCTCTCATGTTTACTCCACTTAATTTGATGATTTCTTAACGTGATCTTCCACTCTGACAGCAGACACCTATGGAACCTTATCTCTCAAGGTCACTTGTAATTAATATGATTCCTGTCAGCAAAGATGATCAGCTAACCCAGTCAAGTCAGCTATAACAGCTTCCTCAAGGAGACAGAATTTGCATGAAGCCAAAGAGGATGACCCGCCATTTTTTTTATTATTATTTATTTATTTTTTGTTGTTGTTACAATCTCTTTAAAATCTAGAAAGAAGGGGAAAATTTCCTAATATGCTGATAGAGAAGACCACTCAGGAGAGCTCTTCTATCAACCTGGCATGTCAAAGCACCAAGAATTAGCAAGGGCAAAGTGGATGCAATGCTTCATGGCTGATAGAGAAGTCAGTCCAAAAGCAAAGAGAAGAAAGACAGAAAAGGCACTCATTTATCTAGCCTAGGCAATGAGAATTTGAAATTATGAGAGGGACAATTTTTCATGATCTTAGGAAAGAAACAGTTCTCTGTGTGTTGGGCAAACAGGACAAACAGCACTGCCATTGCAGGGCAGATAAGTGGACAAAGCACTCAGCGCTGGTACAGAGCCTGCTGCTTGACCCAAACCAGGCTGTGAGTCTGAGGCTTCATAGCCAGCCGTGATGCTGTGCCGTGCTCTATGTGCCCCATACAGCCCTGCCCTCCCTGCTCTGCCTTCACATCAGCAATAGTACTTGTGCAGCCAGGGGCTCAATTGTAACAAGTGGATGATCCAAAGTAAGGCTCATCCATACATCTTCATGGCATGACCACTATTTTCAACAGCAATGTGGTCTTAAGCTGACTGTGAAGCCATACCTGACTCTACAACAGATGTCTGAACATCAAAAATGGCCAATCATATTTACAACATAAGTGCAACTTACTCTTCCACTGCAAGGAAATGATCTGGGGTTTTAAAAACCAGCAGGCTGCTTGTTTCTGTAATTATATCTAATAATGGTATGCTTCTCCTGTCCTAAACCCTGCTGATCTGAAAGAGCGTACTTCCAGACACCTACCAAATGACTGATTAATCCACAGCCCAACTGAGGGAAATATGTGAGCAAGCTGACGGTGAGCGCCAGTTTCAGAGAGGGGTCACTGTGGAAAAGAACGCTGGGCGGAAGAACAAAATTTGCTCAAGCTCTCTCAGGGCCCTAAACATCTTTTTCAAAATATTTGAGTTTAAAAATACGTATATATATCCATTCTGTTAGCTCCAAACACACTGCTGCTGCTGAGCCCTGGGAGCCATCGGGGTTAGTGAAGAGATACAACAGCAAACAGGGAGCCAGTGTGTGAGTCCTATGGGACTCTACAGTTAGCCTGCTCTCTCAGAATTCTTCACCAGAATAAGAACTGCCAGGGCACGGTGAATGAGGACCAAAAGGCTTTAGGAGAGGCAGCACCTCTGCCTCCTGGAACCTGGGGAAAAATAAATATGAGTGTGCACCTTTCAACAGGGAGATTTTCCCCATCTGTGCACGAGAGCAGAGGTTATCAGTCCCCTTCTGTTGTGTCACTCTTTATTTTAGCAATAAAGAAAAGATTACTACCCATCAGCTGTTTAAAACATGGGCAGTTTTGCAATCTCTCCATGCAGAAACACATCAACTGAGTTCTAGTACAAGCTGGTAACTGTCAACCGCATCCACACCTATTCCTTACGGGCACTGACACAGTAGTTTCCTACACTGCTTTCTCCTCTCAGTTTTTACTGAAAGTTAGCCCATTTTTGTGACAAAACAGCCCAGCCCAAATTCTAGTGGACAACTGACCATGAAATTAAAAGCCTCAGCTGCAACTAATGCTAGCTGTTTCCAAAAACAAAGTGAGAGAGGAGAGTGATGAGAGGAAAAGATAAATAGAGGGTAAGAGCAGAACCTGCCTTCAGAGACCTACCAGGTAGCACCTACCGGTTCCTGCAGCCACTCACTTAGAAGCAATGGCCTGCAGATGAGATTTCAGTTTCAGCCAGCAAAAAAACAACTGCTCTGCAGACTTAGAACTGATAACAGTACCAACAACTTCACAGCTTCATGACCTGTACTGTTATTACACAAACCTCAGATCTGGTAATCTTGCTGGGCTGGGTTCAAAAGCCAAGAAGTATGATACAAGCAAAGGCTTCACCTCTTCCTATTTGCAGTTTGACCTTTCTTGTATTTGAAGACTGTTATCATACCTCCCTTCAGCCTCTTCAAGCTGAACAAACCCAGTCCTCTCAGTCTTTTATCACAGACTTTTGATCATTTTTATTGCATTCAAGTTGACCATAGTTCTGAAAAATACCTTTAGTCTAAGGAACTGTTGCAACAGATATATCAGTGTGCTTCACCAACAGAGTAAAAACCTTAAACAACCTCTAATTTTACTTCCAAATAAGCTGCGTAGAAATCAGGACTGCCCAGTGAAAAAGATCTTCCTGTGCTTTGTAACAGCAACTCCACAATGCTGTGCTGCTGCAGTACCAAGTCAAGGCTTCCAGGCAAAGGACTTTTACCAGGAGAGAGATACAAGAGTCTAATGCCTTTAACATACTGCAAATGAAAATGTTTTACATGTCTTTGAACCCATGAAGATGTGAGGTTAATAACCAGCTATGAATTTCTTACCACAAGAGTCTGAAGTGGTGTTTAAAAAAAAAGATAGAAGGAAATAAGGTGGCCAAGTCAGTCTATCTGTGCTGAGGTAGGAAATGACACAGCTTGTCACCATGAACGGACTTTGCATGTTTCCAGTGAATTGTTTTCCACCATGTCATTTACTGTTTCCACTAAGCTAAAAAAAAGATCAACCTACTCACATGTGGAAAGAAGCCACGATCACATCTCACATTACTGAATAAAATATTACTGTTGATATTTTATGGCTCAGTGTGTACTGCAGAATACAATGGGTTCACATAACAGGGCTATACATTTGATATAAAGCTGCATAATATACATAAAACTCCTTACATAGCTACCTGACAGAAACACCAACCAGCTACTTCTGCAAACTAAAATTCAAAAACAAAACAACAGGAGAAATGCAATTCTGGTAGCTGCTGGAAACAAAATCTTTATCCAGAGCCCTTCCAAGATGCCTCTGAAACAGGAATTTGTAATTACTTGCCTGGTTACATCCTGTAATCCAGACACATACATTAAAGATGTAACTTCCTTCCAGTTTGGTAGGAAACAACCAGTGTTATCTTCTCAGAAACCTCAAAGTATTTAATTGCAGGAGAGATCTATATTTTGCAGCACCACCAGTTTGGAGGGCAGGGAGAGGTTGTACAGAAGGTCACAAGCGTATTTTATTTACTGAACAAATTGGCCTGTTCCTAAAATTTTAAGCAAATAAAGACGTGCCCCTTTGAACGAACACTTACATTTTGTTCATTCTAGCAAAACCTGCTTATGTCAATACTTCCATTTTCAGTGAATAGCCACTGGACTGAAGAAGGAAAAGCAGAGCCCATTTTTTAGGATGGCTAGAAGGAAAACTACCTTGCACCTGTAGGAAATACAACAGAAATGATACAGCTGTCACTTTGGCGGGACTTTGGATACTGTCTCCCACGACATTCCCATGATCA